GAGGGCAATGGGAAACTTACTACAATGAGTATCAGAAGAAAAATGTCCAAAATTGATTGTGATGATTAAATTGTGTGATATGTGAATTATGTGCCTAACTATGTTAAAAGCCTTCTTAGTTCAATATGAAATATTTGTTTTCCAAAATTGCTCACATGGTAAATCTTTCATGTGGATGAACCAGCATCATGCAATTAGAACCAGTCTGAATACAAAGATATAGACCTCCAGGAGGCGTTCATGTTGCCAGATTTATATCAGGATCTGCCTATGTCCAGAGGCACAGTGGGAAAAACACTAAAGCCTGGTGAAATTGCATAAATTTCGAATTATTCTTAAAATTAAAGGGAAAAGTAAATTAGTAGATTAAACACATATCCGTGTTTACATGAATTTCACATAAACAGAGGGGAAAAGGAAGAAATCCCAAGAGTGATGGCATTCACGTTTGCCAGTTTATGAATGAATGAAGGAGATAGCTTCAGGATAAAAGGGGATTTGTTACTCAGCTCTTTGAGAGAAAGATGGGGCTTTCTACTCCTGCAAGATTTCCAGTCTTGGAAACTCACAGGCGCAGTTTCCCCCTGTCCTGTAGGGTTGCTAGGAGTCAATGTCAACTCAATGGCAGTCTTTGGTTTTGGGTTTTGTCGATTACTTATGTATGGTAGTGGCAATCATTTTCTTTAAATGTGATAACGAAGAAACACGGAGAAGGAAGATGAGAAGAGTTTTCAAAATCAAGGTGAAGATGAAACGTTACAATTAATGTCCAGAGAGGTGGATTGGAAATAACAGCAGATCCACATGCGGACACATTATTTGGCTGGCTTGAAAATAGATCCAAGTTCCTGAGTGTCTCTTTCACCGAAGATTCCGCAAGTTCTGACGCCTCTCGACTTTCGTCTCCAGGCGTCTTTCCAATGGCCACTAGGACCTGGTTCAAGGGTCCATCTTGTGCGACACTTCTATTTCTTCCAGCTTGGCCCAGTCAAGTCTGCCTATCTTCTTTGTGTAGCACCTATGGCTGTGCCAATCTTCAATCAATATCACCAAGAGAGCCACCAGGACCAGTCCTGCAATGCTCAACTGGATCAAATTCCCCACCATGTAATCCTGATGCATGGTATCTAGAGACATAAATCAAAGAGAGGATTAGTTGTTGGTCATATCCCACCACATTCCATCCCCAGATTCCTGAAACGGGAGTTCATTTCCCTTATAGACTTCCCCAAATATGGACCCACTCCGACTCTTTTCAATGAGGGCATATACTCATGAGAACCATATTTATCTGGGTCCATGGGTGGCAGTTAGGATTCTCAAGGGGAAAAAATGGCCACGGAGTGGTTGTGCTTGCCTTTCATTCCCTCCCCAATTGTCCATTTCCCTGAAGGTCTGACCATATACCTGCAACATCCCCATAGATCCCCAACTCTCGATTCTCTACTGCATACCTTCTTGGCCCCACATAAACAATGTCTAGTCTTCTCTCATTTATGATAAGAATGCAGCATTGTTGGCACCTGGAGAATAGGTCAGGGAAGAAAGTGCGATACACTTGTCGATAGGTGTCATTGAGTTGGTTCTGACCCATGTGAACCCGATGGACAACAGAATGAAGCACTGCCTCATCCAGGCCTATCCTCACAATGGCTGTCATGCTTGAGTCCACTGTTCCAACCACGGTGTCCGTCCATCTTACGGACTTTTTCAATGTCTCTCTACGTAGCCAAGCAAGATGGCCTCGTCTAGAGTCTGGTCTCCCCTGATAGCATGTCCAAAGTATGTGAGACGAAGTCTCATTAGCCCTGCTTCTAAGGATGGTGTGAATCAGGGTTGTATCTTTTCATCAGATGTATTCAATCTGGGTGCTGAGCAAATAATCGGAGAAGCTGGATTATATGAAGAAGAAGGTGGTATCAGGATTTGAGGAAGGCTTATTAACAACATGAGATAGGCAGATGGCACACACACCTGGCTTGCTGAAAGTGAGGAGGACTTGCAGCACTTGTTGATGAAGATTAAGGATGGCAGCCTTCAGTATGGATTACAAGTCAGTGTAAAGAAAATTCAAATCCTTACAACTGGACCAATTAGGCAACATGATAAATGGAGAAAAGATTGAAGTTGTCAGAATGTCATCTTTCTTGGATCCACCATCAATGCTCACAGAAGCAACAGTGAAGAACTCAAACAATGCATTGCATTGAATAAATCTGCTGCACAAGGCCTCGTTAAGGTTTTGAAAAGCAAGGATGTTGGTACAGATAGGAACTGGAAATACAGGGAATCCAGGGCGGATATGCCCTACAGGACCAGTGGTGAGAGTGGCAAAACAGGGAGGGTAGAGGGAGAGTGGGTAGGAAAGAGGGAACCGATTGCAAGGAACTATATGTGACCTCCTCCCTGGGGGACGGACAACAGAAAAGTGGGTGAAGGGAGACGTCAGACATGGCAAGATATGACAAAATAACAATTTATAAACTATCAAGGGCTCATGAGGGAGAGGGGAGCGGGGAGGGAGGGGGGAAATGAGGACCTAATGCCGGGGGTTTAAGTGGGGAGAAAATGTTTTGAGAATGATGAGGGCAATGAACGTATAAATGCACTTTACACAATTGATGTGTGTATGGATTGTGATAAGAGTTGTATGAGCCCCTAATAAAATGATTTAAAAAAAAAAAGAAAAGCAAGGCTGTAAGTTTGATGACTAGGATGCACCTGACCCAAGCCATGGTGTTTTCAATAGCTTGATTTGCATGTGAAAGTTGGACAGGATAAAGTGGATAAAGGAAGACCAAAGAAGAATCGAGGTGTTGAATTGTGGTGCTGGTGAAGACTATAGACAGTACCATGGACCACCAAAAGAATAAGCTAGTCTGTTTTGGAAGCACACGGCCAGAATGCTACCTAGAAGCAAGAATGGCAAGAAAAATCTAGGTCAAGTTAATTTTCTCTGTTGAGTGATCATTTGCAGGCCTTGCTGCTCCCTCAAAATTTTCTTCATTCATGTGTTACATGGATTAGATAGGCCCGTGTTTCCCTCAAGGGTGTTACATTGTTAGCTGCCCTCAAATTGGCTCTGATTTATGGTAATCTTATGCATAAGGGGAGAAAGATGTAAAGAGTTAGAATCCTGGAAATGCACAGGGAGCAGGTCGACCCTATCCTATAGGATCACTATGAGTCAGCATCCACTTGACGGCAGTACCAGAAGAACAAATCAATCTGCTCTTAGAGGAAGTGCAACCAGGATGCGCCTTCAAAATGAGGATGGCCAGATCGTCTCAAGTACGTTGGACGTGGAATCAGAAGACACCAGTCCTTGGAGAAGGGCGTCAAGCTTAATAAAGTAGAGGGGCAGCAAACAAGAAGCCCCTCAAGGAGCTGGACTGACCCAGTGGCTGCCACGATGGGGCTCAAGCACAATTGTGAGTATGGGTCCAGACTAGGCAGTGTTTCCTTCGCTTGTGCACAGGGTGGTTATGAGTCGAAGCCAACTCGGCAGCACCTAACCCCGAACAGCATGCAGCCTGGTTAGGAAAACTACCCATCAACAAGTGACACGAAGCACACAAATACCAATAGATCAAGTTAGATGCTTCATCCACATACAGGTGAAGGACGAGTTCCTTAGCCTCACAATTCCACCTCGAGAGGTGGGGAGGGAAGTGGCCTGAAAGTTCTTTTTACCCATACGTCTTATAATTTACTGTAGTAATTTTAAAACAGGAAAACCACACGATGAGCTCAATATTTGAAGGAAGAAGCATTTAATACCATTGAATGAGTAGGTAGGTAGATAGAAGTATAGATCTAGGTAAAGGCATGGGCATTGATGGATTGACACAATAGCCGCCACAATGGAATCAAACATTCTAACTATCATGAAAATGACACAGTTCCCAGGCAGCGTGTCATTGGGTTCGCTGACTTGATGGCAACTCACAAGAGCAACAACAACGACATGAGTATAGAGTAGGTAAAGAGAGGTTGCTGTTGTGTGTCACCGAGTCCATTTTGGCTCACAGTGACCCAACGTGACAGAGTAGAACTGTTCCTTCCATAGGGTCAGGGGTAGTTACTTAATTGCACTTAAAGATACATAAAAGTGTAGGGGTGGTCGCCAACCTGTCAATCCGATAATAGACTGATGGCACCTCCTAGTGGGCATGGCCTTCTCATTAGGGGACCTAGGGAATCTCTGCCCCTCCAACCCCCATCCCTCTGCCTTGACCTTTCTGCTCACTGACCCCGAGATCTACCAGAGCCCTTCAATGTTCTCCACCGACTTGGGATCTACATGACTTTGCACTCACAGGCCTGTGATCCTCCTGCATTCTGCATCATTGCATGCGACTGCGTGAGTCTGAAGAGGGATGGTGGACTAGTATCAGGTTACAGACTTGAATTGGACTGGGCTGGGCTGGGTTCTTGGTATATAATTACTTCTTGCTATAAAGCTCTTTCTTACACAGATCTGCTTGTCCCTGGATTTATTTCTCTAGTCAACCCGGCCTACCTCAGGGCCTCCTTGGTTATAATCATTACAGACTCAGATTGCCTCATCTTTTTCCTGCTGAGTCCCTGGGTAGGTTAGAACCCCCAGTTTTGGGGTTGACAGCTGAGTGCTTAAATGCTGCATCATTAGGATTATATTCTCACTGCTATCGAGTCAATGCTGACTTATTGCGATCCCATGTGGGTTTCAGAGTCTGTAGCTGTTTACAGGAGTAGAGAGCCCAGTCTTCCTCCTGAGGAGCTGCTAGTGGTTTTGAACTGTGAATCATGTGGACGCAGCCCAAAGAGTAAACACTATGCCACCAGGGCTCCTCACCAGGACTATATATCCCTGTATAATTATGCTTATGTACATATGTTAGTGGACTAAGACTAGAAAGAGGTCTCCTTCTTTTGATAAAACATGGCTAAATAATACAAGGGCATATCATACAAATGGGAAACACGTGAAGGCATTTCCATAAATCCTCGGCCGTTGAGTCAATTCCAACTCAGTATCCATGGGAGAAAGTCCTGGTGATCGATCTGTCTTTGAAG